GCAGGGCATGTGAACTTCTTTGTAAATGGGCTTCTTCCTAGGTCATTCGCTTGCGACCACTTACTGGAAAGACTTGCCTTATGCCTATCCCTTGTTTGCTGGATTTTCCTTGCCAGATTTCCTTTCAAAACTACTGCTTGTCCTGTTAGTCTGTTAGATCGCATGGACAGAACTCAAAATTACTAATTAATGGCTGGCAGGTAACGGGAAATGAATGGAATGGCATTGGCTTATGGGGCACTCCCTCTGGATGGATTAAGATAACAGGCCTCGTCCCAAAGCAAAGGAAGAAAGAGGCTTGCTCACATAAAATATCCCAGCAAGGGAAAGATCAGCCCCATAGCGTATTCAGGTATATCCGCAATCGCATATTATGGGCCATCTGCAGCCTATATATATGTATTTCCTGCAATGTCCAGGCCATTTCCTTTCGATGGCAGATCCCGTGGAAGTTAACTTTGTTTTGCTGTCGGACCAGGAGAGTGAATCGAATAGGTTACATAGGCAGGACAGGCGAGTTCTCATACATTTCCTGGCGCTGTTAGCCTGCCCTAATCTACTTTCTTCTCCTTTTTAGAAGTTACTGTTTACTCATCTTTTCCGAAGTGAGCATATACTTAATCTCCCCTAGTGTAAGAAAGTTGATTTCTATTTCTAAAACTTGCCTCTTGTAAGTGAGTGTATAAAATGGCATATCTAAGTTAGTTTGAAAGCCGGGTTATTAAAATACCAATGCCCTCTTTTGACATTGTTCGAGTTCTCTAGCGCCTGAGTCTGTTACGGTGAGTGAGGAAGCCTTTAAATTGAAAGCAGGCCTTTCTTTTATTCAAGTAGGAATTATAGGCAAGCTAGCAATTCTTCAAGTGAGAGTTTACATCCAGTGCTACATTTAGAGTTCCAGTTGCAGGAAAGGGAAAGAGACTTAGGAGAGCCAGCAGGCGCCAGCAAGCTAGGTTTTAAGTGAGCAATCTTGTGATTTCCTTGCCATCCAATTACAATTACAGTTGCTATCTAGTTTCAGTGCCTGTGAGTAAACCAGTTCAAGCAAGGGTAAAAGCATATTCCGATTCCGACTAGCTGATTATAGAGTCATATGCTAGGCCAGTTTCCAATCATCCTGTTTTTAGTTTGTCGTGCCAGGCGAGCAAATGGGTTCCCTAGGCAGTAATTGGTTGCAGGGCATTTTCCTTGGATGTTTTTTCTGTCCTATAGATATAGAACAACAGGTAAAGCCTTAATTAAACCTTTGGGTGATCAAAGAAGAGAATCAAGGCTCCTCTCCTTTTCTAGGAATCTACAACTCTCTTTACTGAGCAAGACTCTACCCAGATCTAAAGAATTCGCCAAAGAGCCTTCTTCTAACTAGGAGAGTCAGCAAGCTACCGGAAGCGAAGCTTCTGGCTCCCCCTTTGAATTTCCAATTCCTTCTTTTCGTTCTACTTAGGTGGAGCAATCCGAACTCTCGACAGAATATAAAAGAGCGTCTTCGAACCTGTGTAGACACCTCAACGAACTCATGTGGACACTCCTCAGCCCGAGCCGAGGACAATTTATCAAAAATACACATTAAGATGTTGACCCGTTTTTCTTTTCTTTGCTGATTCCTCTCAATTAAATTTGCCATGTTGCACTAAGTTACTTACGTATGTATGCATGCGGTCCGGGAACACTTTGGGGTGAACACCCATCCGAACAAGTAGGGTCAATAGTTCAGCATTTAGGCTGTAACATTTAGCAACAAAAAAATCTTTAACCCAACAAGTGCTCTCCGAACCAAGCTAGATAGTCTCCTATCACTAGGCTCACCAACCAACCTGGACTTTTATTCTGATTATTCCTACCGGATATCAAAACCATAAGGAAGGATTGTTTCCAGCCATGAGTTCCCATATTACATAAGCGCTCTTGGGTGGGCCATTCCATCAAATCTTTGAGAAGGGGCCCAATCTCGTCTTTTATGGTCGGCGTGGCGATAGGCTTCGCTTCTACGACTGCCTCCCCAGCCGTTGCAAAGACTGAGCGAGAACGGTAAGGGGCGGAATGTCGTTGCGCGGGGATGCGATTAGCCAAGCTGGGGCAAACAAAGCCGTCCGGCCCCCTACCGGATTAGGAAAGCGAAGGCCTTTCCTTCGAAAGGAGACCGGGTAAATCAAGAGCTATGCTATTGACCGACCCTTTCGTAGTGACTTCGAATCAATAGTCCTATCCTTTTTTATCATTTTGTTTGAGGCGGGCCGAATAGAGAATTAAATGCAGAAATACGGGAAGAGTTCCAAACCGGTTTAAGGGCTGCTCGCCCTACCGAAGTACTAAAGGCTTTCGAGGCTTACACCTCCCTATTACACGACCTAAAAAAAGGTAGCTTGCTGTAGCGCCCTTAGAAGAAATCTAAGCCTTTTGAAGCGCCAGTAGTTGTAGCTGTGGCCACACCAACCCTTTCGTTCTTATCGCTCCGGGTTTCTATCTATATGACCTCCGGGCGGTACAAAGTAAACCTCTTCCGTAGAGGCAGGTAGTAACCTACCTAACCTTTAAGAGTATGTTCAAGGGGGGGAGCCCTCTTATCTATCAATGGAAAGATCTCCGTGCGTGATAAGGAATCCTAGAAAAGATCGATTGAGACTCCCTCCCCGGTCCCACGAAGATCTCTACGTACTTGTCAAGTCCAGGACAACTGAGATCTTCCGGTCTGCGTGCGTGGGAGCAGCTCAAATAAAGAAGAGTCTGGTCTGAATTCAGGCCCGGCCCGCCCGTCTGCTGCTAGATCCGGGAATGGCGCCAGGCGAGGGCGCCGCTATGCCCCACAGCTCTGCAGTGGTCGGCCCCCGGACTATGCAAAAGAATAGAGGCCGGGGGGTCTCGCCAATAGTGGTTCCCCCCGCCTTTGGTGATTGACCAAACTAAGAGGCCTAGATCTGTGCCCCTTAATGAATCGAATGGTCCTTCGGCCCCTTAATTTTATTCCGACGGCCGGCATAGATATCATGAGACCCGCCCACTATTACTACGAAAAAAGCCCTGCCTTTTTCCTTCAAACTAGGAGAGTCAGCAACTTCTATTAGCGCCGGACCTTGAGTCGAATTGATCGTGTCATGTGCAACGTCCATCAATGATGGTTCATTAATGTCCATTGATTTAGACTCCTTCCCCCTTCCCAACTACGAATAAGATCGAGAGGAGCCCCCCAAGAACGAAAACGGAAGCCTTTCGATTCACTCCCCATTATCTCTTAAATAAAGCTCGCCCTCGAGCCTTGGGCAGGTCGGCCGGGTCTTTCCCTGTTGTTCTGTTCCCGCCACGAGAAAGACGCACAGAAGGAAGACGTATGCCCGGCGCGCAGAGGATCCGTTGAGAGTGCCTGTTGTATCGGTAGGGAACTTTACGATCTTTTCCCTGTATTGAATAAAAAAAAGAAGAGGTCAGTGCTACGGCCCTCTATTGTTTGATCCAATATTGACCGGGGACGAGCCCCGACTTCCATAGGGCCTTTCCTTGGTTTGACCTCCCGTAGTGGTCCTTGCTTTTAATAAAGCTCCGCGGGGCTAATTTATCGTACTTGCTCAGTGTGCCCCCCTTTCGTCGAGTGCCCCGCCCGGTTCACAAGGCTGTTGGCCTACCAAGCACTTGCCCGCAGCTCCTACCGCCCGCCAAGCGGGCGGAGCGCTCGTTATCCTTACTGTTCTCTATGCCGGGGCCCCCTCCCATTGCTCTAGCCATAAGCTATGGCAGCTCCAGCTCGAAACCAAAGGGGCCCGCCCTGCGAGGCCAGAGTGGGCTCAGTGGTCAGCCCCCATTCGAATTAAGGGGTCTTTAGCTTTTGCCAGATCTAGAGAGATACTACGAGTCCTCCGTCCCAGATTCCATCGCCGCGGCCATCCGGTTCACCGGTACTACCAAAAAGTCTCATGCTTACATTACTACTGTTACTGATGGTTTGATTATCTTGGACCCCGGTCGGTCGTGCTTCTGGTTTCCATTCCCATCATCATATTGATATGATCAATCTCCTCGCGCTCTGCCATAATAACTTGGAGTCCATATCATGGTGAAGGTAAGGTAACGATGTGATTCTTGCTCAAAAAACAGACCGAACGCGTTCGAGTTATTGGCTCGTCCAACCCGGCAGCATTCATGAGTCGCTCGTTCAACTGTCCCTCGGAGACACGGTCGAGAACATGCATGGTTGCCCCCCGTCCTTTCTTGCTCTCGGTCCCACCCAGCAAGATACGGCTCAGCCAAAAAACGTGAGCGCCCCTGCGCGAGCCTTATTTTTTTAGTAAAGTCAAGCTTTGGCTCCCTAAAGACTAAAGACAGAAATGGATCAAAAAAAGGGGGGACTTCTGCAACGGGCTATACCACCCAAACCAACTGAGGGAAGTCGCATCCGCCCCATCGCAAGCACCTACAATGTCATGATCACATTGGTTTACCCTTTTTTCTTTGGTAGTTCAACGGACGGTCGCCCCTCCAACAAGAAAAGGTATAAATATGGAAACTTCTCTGCCATTTGGATCGGAGAATTTATGGAGGAAATCGGCTTTTAAATTTCCAGAAACCACACGATTATATAGCCAAAGGGAATACGCCGCGCCTAAAATCATCCCAAGCGCTGCTAATGTGGCTACTAAGCTATTTCTTTGGAAAGCTCCTACTGAGATGGGAAATTCCCCGATAAAGCTGCTAGTACCTGGTGAACTCATATTGGCCAAAGTGGAAGAGAAGGAAATGGTAGAGAGATTCGGCATGGTGCTCACTAACCCTCCGTAATATCTAACAAGTCGAGTCTTATGTCGGTCATATAGAACACCAACACATAGAAAAAGGGCTGAAGGAACCAGTCCATGACTTAACATCGGTGGAATGCTACCTCCAATTCCCTGTATGTTCGATAGAGCCAAAGATTCCCCCCCCACTGATCGGAGTACGCCGATTACCCCCCGAACCGTACAAGATAGTTACCGCCTATCATACGGCTTTCTAACTTAACTTTTTTTTTATGGTCGTTCCGCTCTGTTGATCGATGGTAGTATAAGAGATCTGATCTGTAACCCCCCGAAATTTTTTACATAAGGGTTCCTGCTTTCTACCCATAGTTAGCATGTATCTCCCCGGGTCATACTTGAGTATCACATCGTAGACCCCCACCCCAACTCTATCTTCCTTATCAGTGAACCGGAAATAGTGCATAGGTACTTTTAAATGCAGCGGGGACGAGATGACATACTACGATCACGTACAGAAGTGCTGCCCTTCGGCTCGGCAATATGGAACCTCTAAACAGCCCCCGTTCCTTTATGAGGTCCTATCGGGATAGGTAGGCCCAGCCCAAGCCTTCCCCCTCCCTCCATAAGACCCTCTTTATCTTTCCCCCTCGAGAAAGAGAAGAAAGGGTTTTTTATCTTCTTTCATGTGAATGGCCCTATCTTGTATCGAAAGGTTTTTCGTGCTATACACCACGTTGAGAAAGACCAGCCTCCTATGTACCGTACCATTTTTTTTACCCCTGAAAGGGAGGTCCTCCTTATGATGCTACGGACGGCTGTCCGAAGTGCAAGGGGTAAACTCGGACGAGGATAGGATTGCGCGCGCCGGGCCCTCCCTTCGGGTGTAAAATTTTGGCCGAGTTTACCGTACCTCCGGCCCTTATGTTACGCGACCGTAATCTTTTTTTATGTTCCACCGCTGTTACGCCATAAATAAAAGGTTCCACACGAGCTCCCGTTCTGCGGCGTGGTGGCAGGACCGATAGGAGATTGGCTCCGGGTGTAGATAGGGTAAAATCCGCAGGAGTCATGCAAATACATAGGCCCCTTCCCCTCTCTTTTAGATGAATGGGGTGGTTTAGAACGTCTTTTCCTATCTACGGTCCCTCGGAGCGAGGGGTTAGGCAGGTAGTATGGGCCCTCTGACTTCCAGCTATGTGTTGTGCGGCTCCCGCGAAGCGAATGAAGGGAAGCTCTTCGAGCTTACGCTTACTCTCAGCCTCTTTGATTGGTAGGCGGGCGGGCCCCCTACTTAAGATTCCATTCATAAGGGTAATTTTCTGTTGTCGTGACGCTTTGGTTAGGCCGACTACTAGACTACTAGAGGTTACTTCTAGCTTCTATAGGGGCCTTTCCACTTTGGTGTAGTTTTAGTTTGTATTGGTACTGAATGAACATATCAAACAAAGGCGAGCAGTATAAGCCCTTCTCTGGCCTGGGAAAAGCAGCGAACTCTAGAAGCTAGGGCGTTCGTTGTTCACCTTTACCTTTGGACACGAACACTATTCCGTTCTCAGCGTAAACCCGCCTTAGAGATTGAACGGCAATAAGATAAGTCGACGTTCAATCTAAGACAGCGCTGATAGCTTGTAGTGAACAGCCCCCTTCTTTACCAACCGAAAGCAGCCTTTGGTACTTAACTTAAGTAGGGAACCCTTGCAACTATGATAGAAATCCGTTTGCTTGTTGCCAAACCCTTCGCCTTTCTTTTGTTTTGAATCAAAGTAGGTCGCGACTGTTGTATTTTTGTTTAGTAGGTCGGGGGAAGCTACCGCTTATACGACAGCTCTGCTTCCTCGTCTTGCTTCTGGCAAAGCTTCTACTTTGCTTGCGCGAAGGCTTATTAAGTCCTTTTCGCTAGGTCCAAAAGCTTCCGTCAAAGCTAAAGATCTGATCCAACTTAAATCCCGCATATCCGCTGCGCTCAATATGCGGCTACGGCTAGGCGATCATATCGTGCCAAAAAACCTTTTTTTATGTATAGAGAGATCCCCTAGATATACAGATAGAATAGATGTTCATGGATAGACAGACATTCCATTGATTCTTAGTTTTGGGGCTGAAAAAGCTCGTCGATCCAAATGAATCATTCTTGTGGTCTCTCTTCGCCCCCCGCCCCGAAACTGACCCACAGCACATCACCCATTCGCTTCGCGCGCGGGAAGGCTACGAAGTTCAGTTCATGAGACCGCGGCGGAGTGGAGCAGCCGCGACACGAAGTTCCTTACCTTAGCTGGATCTCGCTGGTGCCACCTAAACGGTAAGTAGGCAACGGATGTGTGACGTTTGGAGTTGTCATTCGTGCACCTGTCCCCAATGGAAGAATGAGTGATCCGTTCCCCTGCGGATCATGGCCTTACCACTCGGTCCCCGATGGCCTGCGGGGGATTCGGTATAGCAGCTTACGTTTTTTTGCGCTGCGCGTTCCCGCTGGACACGTGTTAGCTGTAGGAAGTATGGTTCCGAAAGTGACTTCGGTTCGCCAGTTCAGGCTCAACTCCTCGCTTTACGTTAGCGGACCTACACTACAGGTCGGGCCGGGGCTCTGCGCTCTTTCTTTCTGTGTGGGACGATGTCGGGGAGAGAAGGGAATGCGTCGAGGCGGCGAACAACACAACTAGATTTTTGCTTTTCCCTCCATCCATGACAGTGCATTGGACCGATGGATAAGAGAACTGAGCTGGCGCTTGGGCGCTCTACGTACGATGTAGACTCCATCAGATACATATCGATTTATTTCTGATGGATCAAGAATAGTTGTCTTATCAATAGATAGAAATAGGGGATTTCCCCTTATTATTGATGGATTCCCTCTATCTCATTCCTACTCTTTCGATCTATCAGAACGGATCAGGCTATCTATCAATCGATTTTTAAATAGCACGTTCATCTCGCTTTTCGTTCATTTCCGCCACGCCAACATAGCCACAATAAATAAGAAGAAGCAGGCGAAGCAGCTAGAAGCGCTCGCTTCTAGACCTTTAATTCTTATTCACGAATGAATTTGGAAAGCCAACACAAAGATTAGATTCTGACTTCGTAGAGCCGGTGCTGCTGTTGCCTGCGCGTAGGGTGTCCCCCACTCCTGTCCCGGGGCGCTAAGGGGCTTTTGTTTTTGGAACAGACGGCAATGTTTTGCTGACGCCTTGAATCAAGCTTTTGTTGCGACATGCTATGTTTTCTCCCCCATTGCTAGTAGGTTGATGGGTCGCACGCCCGACACACATGTTTTGGCCTTGTCTTTTGTGTCCATAACTAAAAATAGGTGACCTAACGGCCGCCGCCCGACTAAACATACCAATAGTCACCAGATTCATATGGGCTACTAAGGAGTAAGCAATGATCTTCTTAAGATCGATCTGTCTTGAAGTGGTCAAGGAAGTATATATTATAGCAATCGCGCTTGGAGTATAAATGAAAGGAGTGGAACAAAGTGTTGCTTCGGGAAACATGGGTATTGAAAATCTTAAAAACCCGTGGGCTCCCAATTTTGAAGGAATTCCTGCCAAGATGACGGATCCTGCCGTAGGTGCCTCTACATGAGCTTCGGGTAACCAAATATGAACTGGTACCATAGGCACTTTGACGGCGAAAGCGGCGAAAGAAGCAATCCATAGAAAGATTTGGCGCCGCTCACTAAATTCTGTGGTTAATGATATTTGTAAATCGGCGGTCCCTGTTTGGAAAAGAATCAACAAAATAGCTAATAGCATAAAAACAGATCCAAGTAAAGTATAAAGGAAAAACTGATATGCTGCCTTGATCTTTCTTTGTCTCGAACCCCATACCCCTATAATAATGGTAGAGTAAGGGGTGGCCCCAAAGCGGAATTTACCGGTGGTGGTTGGTCGAAGCTCCAGTAGGTAGCCACTCCCTTCTCAGGGAACCGTACGTGAGACTTCCGCATCATACGGCTCCGTCCCGAGCTTCCGTCGTCGGCCCTTGTCATTAGACCACTATCTATGCATGTATATTAAGCCTGGACTCTCGAATCTTTTGCTTCTCGGGTGGTGGCGAACAATGCAGCTTGCGTTGCGGGAGATGCCCGCCCGTAGGGCCCGGCCCGCTTCTCGCCCGAAAGAACCGCTCACTTGCTAGCCGGACTAGTGGGGGGCCCTATCCGGAGACATACTGAAAACCATGCCTTTCGAACCGAACGCAACGCCCGTCTTCAAAATAATAAAAAAGGGAATAAAGATGGAGTGCGGCCTGTAGAGCACATGTAACGCACAGTCGGTTGCTCACGCAGTGGATCTCTCTCTAGATATCTAGAGATAGAGATGTGAAAGTCATAGCCTTTCTTTTATGGCCGCCCCGCCCCCCGACTTACGGCTTTACGCTACTACTACTGTGATGTGAGCGGTTCCAATTTGTTTCCCAATTCTCCTGGCCGGAACTTGTATGCAGCACTTATACGAAGGTGCATGCAGCAAGGTTTGGAACTATTTTCTTATCTGAATCTTTAAGACGGGACCCTACCCTATTATCGAACCCTCTACCGAGCTTAACCCTGCCCGCATTTCCTTTTTTTTTTAGGGGGCCAAAGAAATGTCTCCACCTGCTGCCAACAGTCTTTCTTCGGAATTCTACTGAACGGGTCGATCCTCCCCTCCCGTTTGTTTTAGCAACTTATCCTAAGGTCTCCTCACCGGGAGCTCCCCGGCGACGACAGAGGAACCAACCCGCCTGCTGTGGCGGGGCGGCTTTTTTTTTCACAATAAGACCTGGACGATTATCCCTACCCTCGGTAGCTTACGAGTTTACGTCCATCCCTGGTTGGGTACAGTTTCCTTTCGATTTTTCCCTTGTAGCCGTTACCCGAATTCACGCAAGTGTGTCCACACCCCCCAAACTGACTTGACGAGGAATCCATTCTCGCGAACAAACACAACCCCTACACACACCTAGGAGCACCCCTTCCTGCATATCCATACAAGACCCGAGTACGCGGGTCGAGGTCCTACGAGGTACCCACTACTCGGAGTACCCTCCCAAAAGGAAAAAGATGTGTCTGTCAGGTTCGATTCGTCTTAGTTGGGTTGGGCGGGTTCGACCAGAAATGCTATGCTTACGCACAAGACTACCCCTCTTCCCGAAAGCTTCGCGGGGACTACTTTACGACGGACGACCGCCCGTAGGGGGTTTACTGCACAAGGCCCCTGCAGAGGAAAAGCTTTATCCCAGCGAATAGAAGATGCTCAGCTCCGCACAACATAGGGATTAGCACGCTTTCGGGAAGAACATAGAATAGTAGAGGATCCAGCATGCGGAACACGGCGATCATTAGAAATTCACGAATTAGAGATGCTGTAATATACTCTTTCCCATAACTTCTCATACCAGACCAACCCACTAAAATACAAATAGGGATAAGAAATGTGGTCAATATCACGAAGAAAAAAGAGAGACCGTCTATACCCAAATTAAAATTGATGTTTTCATAAGGAAGCCATCGAAGGCTTTCCACAAATTGAGATTTGGCCGTAGAAGGATCGAATTGTATCCGAGGAACAGGGGAATACAAAAAAGTAATAAGAGAGGCACACAGACCAATCAATCGTATCGGTCGTATTCTTGAATTTGGAATGAAAAGAGGAATAATGCTTCCTAGCACGGGACACAGAATAGGACCACTTAGATCAGAATAGCATTCACAGAAATGTTCTAACATAGAGTAGAATCGAACATTGAAGAGATTAGTTGACAACAGTCAAAAGATGGGCGCCTAATTCCAATACAATAGGGGTCTATCAGTGCAAGTCAGCTGAACACTGTGATTGATGAGTGGGTAGGTGGGTTAGGTGCGCCTCTCGTCCAGTGGGAAGTCTTGAGGCGAGTCTCCTCCCCCCTTCCTTTTTTTACTTTTCCTCTCTCCTTTTGCTTGTGCTTCTACCCGGGCTTTTCATTTTTATAGATTTTGAGAGACCCGAGGATATTTTTATAAGATTCATTGCTCGATTTTGCATGCTCTGCTCCCAAAATGCAGAGATACTTTCGAGGGCAGATCCGGGTTGGTCCGGGGAGAGGCGGGCTAAGTGAAAGAAAAAAAAGAATATGAATATAAATGGAGCTATGTCGACTTACGTACGTCTCGTTGACCAAACCATCAGGTATACCACGCCACGTATCATCCCCTCTTTCTATAGAGGAGAGATAAAGAAAAATAAAAGAGATAGCGATCGTGCCGTAAGACCTTGTTCGTTTCTACTTGACGTTATTTTCCTCGGTTTTTTTATTTGACATTAAGGCCTTTAGTTTTAGTAGGTTTGGGCTAGGTCGTTGCGCTCCTGCCACGTCTTGGCAAAGTAGGCTGATGGGCAAGCCTCCTCCTGCCGCAATGGTGTGGGGCGTCAGAGGCTGTTGCCCCGTCGCCAACTCGAAGGGGCCGAAGTTCGACGCAGAGCTTTTTGGTTATTAATTTATAGCAGCACTGAGCAACATCCAACAGCTCCAGTCCTTCTGGTTGGTTTGCTTGCACTAAAGTGCCTTAAGTAGCCCTCGAGGAGTCCGTTTATATCCGTCTGAGCTTTCAAAGATATACCGACCGTAGGTATCTTACTTACCATCAGATACCGACAGTCGTCTTCTAACATTACCGACCTTCAAATATAGGGTTTTAATCATCAGAAACAACCCGATTTCCGAGACCTCTTGCATTGCATTACCATAACGAAAAAAAGAGATAAATTGCTCTTGTGACTCGGAATGAACCTTTATCGGTGGAAGAAAGGAATAGCGATGGATTCCTATGAAGCATTCAGGAACAAGAAGATTCAATTGGACGACGAATTCATACGTGGTCCAAGGAAAGAAAAGGTTCGCTTCCACGATTTCATCTATATCGAATCTTAATATAAGAATAGCTTATATAGTCATGATTCAATTCAGGTCCACTGACTTTTGATTGATTTATCTTCGGATCTGATTGGAACATTTGAGAAGTAGGAAGACTTTGGCGGGCGATTCATAATTGGTATCTAGAATATATATGTCCTAGGACAGAAAATATGAATAATTAAGAGAAATTAAAGATAATATATATCTAATCTAAGAATTTTTAGGCTGTACACCTAATTTTTATTCCTGGGATTGTAGTTCAATCGGTCAGAGCACCGCCCTGTCAAGGCGGAAGCTGCGGGTTCGAGCCCCGTCAGTCCCGACCTAGGATCCGATGAATCGATCAATTAATCTCTGTAGGGGGGGCTTAGGATCTAATTCCCAGCAGGAGGATCCTTCTTTCGTTTCGCATTTATCATCGGACAAATCAAGGAATAAAAATTACAATAACTAGTACCGATTGATGGAGGAGAGACATATGTAGGTTGGTACAATCGGGGGTATCACCATATTAAGCATATTAAGTAAGGATTCAAAGAGAGACCGTACAGGTCTGGCTTTTTTCGATTGTTCCTGGCCCATCGAATAGAGTAGCAATTTATTTCCCATAACATAACATTTAATTTTTTTTTTACGATACGCAATTAACTTAACATAGTTACCCCCACAGAGTACTTTTAAGATTCAACCTACCTTTTCTTTCTAGCTCCGATTTTATTTTATTCGCTACACCTATTCTTCTTCCAATAAATTTTTAATAATCGTCAACTGCTCTACTCTAATTCATAGGTTTTTTTTGTATTGATCCCGGGATCTATCGATACAATAGTATGGGCATAAAAAAAAAGCAACCAAGTCATCCCTTAGCACAAGCACTAAGTAAGCAAGCTACCTTTTTTTCTATAAGAAAAAATAACCCATAAAATATTGAATGACTGAGCACTCAAATCCTATCGCGAGTCTTGATACATAGTCTATTAAGTCCTTTCCACAACTCCTAATTTGATTCTCCATCGGCCCATCCAATCTAATTCACGACTCAGTCAGTAGACACTACACTAGTAGGGTAGTCAGTTATGTAATTAGTAATTTTTTAACCAAAAACCCCTTCTTTCTTGGATCCTAGGAGCTCGGATTTACAGTCCTTTAGAACAACCTTTTTATCCCGGCCCCTGACTTTCGTATTGATGAATATCACAATTTAATCTGACTACCCAAGTCGATCCTATTGGCATAGGGCAAACGACGGCGGGATCTCGGTGCCTTTATCTTGCTCTTGAAAGAATAGAAGTTGAGTTCGAGTTGTTATCATGCCGGATCAGAAAAGTAAAAAGCCATACTAAGAGCCTGCGGACCTGCTCACGGGAGTCAGGCCTGTTCTGTAGTGGGCAGACGTAGCAGGGCCATCTGAAAGAATATAGGATAAAGAGCCGCTGGAGAAAACCAATTACGCCGGGTTCTCAATTCCATGGAGTATGTAGTGAGTTTGAATTTACCCGGTTAGCTTTAAGGTTCCTTTCGCTACCGTCCTAAGGTTAAACCAACCGTTGGTTTGCTTTAACAAGATTTAACTGAAGTGAACCTGACGCGAAGTTGGTGAAACCTGAGCGTAGCTAATGAAAGGGAATACCTAAAATTAGAACAGAACCGACTATAAGCCCTGAGAGCCAGCAAGCAAACCCCCCAGACTCTCTCTCTCTAAAAAAAAAAGCCTGCGTAGTAAACTCCTTGTTTGTTTTCTTTCCGATAGCTGCCGTTTTTCAAGTTTTCAAGTCAAGCGAGAAAGCAAGTGGAATAATACTTTACTTTTTTCGGCCATTTCTCAGCAATAGCTACCTGAATGGAAGCAAGCTACGGGGATAAGAAGAAGAGTGGTCGAAGACTACGAGTCGAAGCTAAGACCAATCTAAGCCAATATCCCTCAGCTGGAAACTATCTAGATAGCTTTTTAGCGCTTAGCTACTTGATCCTTCTGCGCCGCAAGCGCTACTACTCCTAGTGATAGGAATAACCTACTCTTTTTCGCGAGAAGGCCCATCTCGTCTCGGACCGGTGACGTATTCTAATGATCTGGATCTCTGGCTTATCTCTTACTTGACGGATTCCATTTCGGCTAGTGGGATTTAAGTGACGATAATCGGGGAAAAGGGTTGATTGGCTCTGATCGATACCATCTAAAAGTGCTTGCTTCATCCATTCGTTACTGGTTATTATTACGCCTCTAGTGACTCTTGGAATCATGCGCATGGCTCCATGTCGGCCTTAATTTGGCGTCGGTGTAACGACCGGTGCAAGTAACAAATACTACCTACGAGTCTCATTCTCTCGCATTCGTCCTTTCCTTACCTGTGTTCTATTCTATTGATCCAGTTTAGGCAGCTTTCAGTCTCTATAAACTTGATGGAATATTTATGACACAAGATACGAAGTCATCAATCAATGGCATGAAGGAGTTCAATCAGGAACATAAATACTTTATTTAGGGTCAGATAAAAATGGGTAAGCAAGCAAGCCTTGCAGTGTGACCGCAACTTGCTAGCCGACACCGGCTACCGCAAAGAGTTCAGTGTAAAAAAAAAGCTAAAGAAAAGACCCTTCCATTATTATACTTAATATTACCTTTCAACCCCTTACGCAATGAAGCAAAGTTATGAACTTTAGTCAGGGTCAACTCAAGATAACTCTTTCATCCGTCGAAGCAGAGACAGGAATTGCTACTTGAACTAGAAAGCATACTACTTAGATAATAGTAATTCATGTACACATCCCGTAGGCAAGGAAAGATATTATTAGAAAGCCAAGCCAGTGCAGAGAGATAAAGTATAGTTACATAAAGAAGAGGAACCTGTTGCCAGAGGAGGCTATGAAATAGTTGCCAGTGATTGCTTTGGCAAGCTAACTGAAGGATCGAGGATAAAACCTCTTGTCAATACAGACAATTTTCATTGAAAAGTAAGCGAGTGGAATAAATGGAACGAGTATAAGGGCTAGTTAGTAGGTGAGTTTTCTAAGTTTGAAAATTGTAGTAAGCAGTAGTTAAGCTCTCAAGCGAGTCAGTCGTTAGTTTAGTTGATAATCCTGTCCAGTAAGGGAAGTAAGTAGAGTCAATAGAGTTGAGTAAGTCCTTGTTTCTTTCCCTTTTACGTTGAGGGAGCTAGTAATGTAAGTGCTCGTCATGAAGATAGTCTAGGAGAATATGGCCCCAATGATAGCACGAGCTGGGAAGCCCATGAAGTTGGTTTCAAGCCCGTTTAAACGCCTTTTAACGGCTGTTTGATGGCTGTTTAAGGTAGGTCTCAGGAGTTAAGTTTAAGGAAGATAAGATGTGCCAGTTATAATTACCAGGATCTGCCAGCGGTATTTGATTGAAAGAGTGCGGTACCGGTACGAATTACTTTTTTGAATTAGATAGCCCCTCCTCTAATTCCACGAATAGATTCGATCCATTAGATTATTTTTTACTCTTTCTTCTTTAGATTGCACGAGTTTTATGAGCCTTAGTTTGCAGCTTTTGTTGAGCCTGCCTACCTTTCCTTCTTTCATTCTTTGTTGGCTCGCAGTGAGGGATATCGATTACTGGTCGTAAGGGGCGGGATATCTGGTTCAGCAGCAGATCCTAATTACCCTTCTCTTCTGGTGACCAAGAAGCAGGAGCGGGTAGTGGATTCTGCAGATTTATAGTCAGTTTGTTCTCGTCCCCACATAAAGAGAAACAAAGCGAGCAGTACCCTTTGGTGTTCTCTACCATGAGTCAAGGGCTAGGAATCCACTGAATAGCTAGTAAGATAGATTGTGTCTAACAAGCTAAGAATCTCCAGGTCGTAAGCCTTTATACCCAGCTCTAGCTTTTTCTAATTATATATTTATTTACTTCATTATATCATAATAAGTTCAATTTCCTTCGAAAGATATGGCTTCTGGTTGTTGTGTCCGATAATATAAATAGTCTCCGCGAATATTAATGATTCTACAGTGGCATAGCTCCAGACATGGGCTTCTTCCCTTCAAACTATGGGTAGCCGGATGTTTAGCAATAGGATACCCTTACTTAAGTAAGTCCGCACTTGGGCATAGTATAGGTTTGCCACTTAATCCACTATCAATGTATCAATGGTGGTGGTCCTTCTGTGTAAAGTTAGCTAGTGTGGATTCGCCAAACAACCTCTTGACAAGAGCCTATTCATTTAATTCTTGCTATTTCCGCACCCCTGCCCGGTCCGGTTTTTTGAGAAATAAAGTCGAGACATTCAGAAAGAGAGTTATGGCATTTATAGGATTAGAATACGGTCCTATTGATTCAATCTTTATGCTTGGCACGGAACTCTTGTTTCGAGTGAAAGGGAGAGCTGTGGCCCGCACCGCATTCACAGGTAAATTTACCTCTACGGGGCGGGGTGTGGAAAGCACTATAAGTTAGTTGACTTCTCGACTTCTTACCAGTATTCCTTCTCTTACTAGCCTAGCTTGATTCTTTATAAAAGACTAACGGCAAAGATTTTATACCTCCTGTAAGCTCGTTACGCTTAACGCCCACTTACTTAAAGACTCGTTGGTTTACGACTCTATAAATTTTAATAATAATTTGAGTCGTTACCTACAGAAGCAGTTGCCCTTCTCCGGATTTACCCGGTGAGGGTGGCGCTTGTGAGTCAAAGTTGAGACTTTCCATGTATGTTTGGCATCCTGGGAGAGTAGTCCTAGGTACTGAAGTTACTCCCGGGTAGAGAAAGAAAGTGCTGGCAGAAAGGAACTCTCAAAGCATGGGGTTTCGTCGGGCGAAGCTCCTATCCCCAAAGGCTGTTGTCGGCATTTCCGTTCTTTGCATGTTAGCACTTTTACCTGACCCTTTGTCACTACTTTCTGATCATGTGGATGCCGCTCTTAGAGAATCCGCGAAAGGACACTGTGAGGGGGATGGGTCCTAGCTACTTCTTTCATACCAAGAAAGATAAGAAGGGATGCTTGCTATCATTCCAGTGCCACTGTCCAATCTGTGAGTCCATATTTTGGAATATAATTCCCAAGCAAAGGATTAGAAGGTAAGGTGCCAAGTTCAAGGCAAAGCTTAGTCGGATTTTTCCCCTACCCCTAGGTTAACTACCTTTAGCTTTCGATAAGACAGTTCAAGCAGAAGACTAACTTGAGGATGTCACGTGGAAGCTTTCCTAAATCCATTTGACCGGAGCCGGGATAAAAACTACTTATATATGTAAGGATATACCACCAAACCTGTGAGCCTTCCCAAATTCAACAGATTCCACTATAGCAAACTCTTCAGATCAGGAATCGCCTTTATTTTATATTTTCTTTCACGCCCTGAGCCTGAGCTAACTCATTTATCTTTCGGTCTAGTCCAGTTCGGCGTAGCTCCAAGCGAAAACATCAAAGAATTATCTGAGTAGATCCATGTACTGTCAAATCTCTTTCATTTGAGAAGCTTGCACTTAGGAATACAGGGCGAGGATTGTCAACAGTCCCGAGATCCATTTACTTGACCTCGGCCGGATCGAGCAGTTCTAGCTTCTGCCTACTCTCTTGATTCTGTTTCTGCGTCAATGTCATTCCAGTCCAGTCGACTCTGATCATGAATGTCGTAGATTCAGTATCCAGATTCTGATTACGAAGATTATTACGAGGAGAAACATGTTCTTTTTACGAAGAAGAAGTGCGGGGTAGTTCACAGATTTGCTTCTCCATTTGATTGAATGGCATAAGTGTCTGGTGGTACAAAGGTCATAATGGGTTTCCAGTAAGAAGGGTCTTTCCAGAATCAAAATTGTCGGTTAGGTTTTATCCGAAAGATTGGAATAAACTTTTACCCTATCCTTTGGGGGAGGTTAGCCCTACATCTTATTTAAGTGTTTGCCCAGTCGCGCTCTACTCTAAGCTTCTAGTTAGCTCAAAAAAACGGACTCCCCTAAGTGGGGCACATGGGTTTGTGAAGATGCGTTGGTTGATCCGGAGACATGGCCACTACTGGCCTACGGTCCTGTCAGATTGCATAGCACATGCTAAGAGCTGCGATGCCTGCCAGAGGTATAGACTCAGCGCAAGCCGGCTTCCGAGTTATACCCGATTATCAAGCCTTGGCCATTTCGAGGTTGGGCCCAGGAATAGTGAGTTGATATTCGCTGATATGCTTAGCGAGAATACTTCGCAGCCGCAATACCAAGATGGGCTCATATTTTGTGAACCAGAACTCTGCTGTACAACTAGCTGCTGCGATCACAGCCTCAGCTAGGATATATATGTAACCTTATATCTCAAGAGAGGACTGCTACTACACGTACACAGACTCAGTTGTGCTTGGCCTAAATAAGTTATTTCTTCTTCTGTCTTAGGTAAGTTTAAGCTAGAGGACAGAGTCATGAAAGGAGACTTTTTAGCACTATTTCTACATCGCAAAAGATAGCACCAATTTACTCAAGTACAAGGGACCGGCGAAAAACCAGGTCAGTCCAGAATGGTTTGAGTCACAGTACGCAGATCCATCTCGTACAGAACAGGTAGCGGTGGAAGCCAACTTCCGGATTGATTGGCACACTCTTAACATCATCAAGAAAGAGATGTAAGGCTTGGGATTAAGCAGGGGACCAAGAGGATACCAGTATATCACGGAGACGTATGGGTGGATACTGATCCAATTGATATCAAAGACTTGTCTTCCCTAGATCACATTGGTAAAGTACTGAAAAAATAACTCTGGTAATATAACTACTGAAAAAAAATGCCCTTTTAGCAGAAAATTAACTTTCTTTCACGAGCTTTACTGCTTCCATTCTTTGTACCAGGGATAAAAAAGAAATTGCGTATAGCAAGAAAGGAAGAAGAATGATAGATGACTAAAGTAGGTACTGGGACCTTTTGGAACATGATTAGGGAAAAAAAGAATATCTAATAGACTGATACGTACGAGCGAACAATAGTTCTTATCTCTTCTCTGTACCGGTAAAGACTTTGACCTTAGAGTAAGGGGAGGGCCTAAGACTTTATTTATAGCCGGGAAGATAATTTCTTAATCGAAGCCATAGCTTAAACTTGGATAGAAGGACTTTATCTGGTCTGGAAAGGCTCTAGGAATTCTCTCTACTCTAGAAGCCATAGGCCGTTGAGCAATAGACTGAAGAGGCATCTCTAACAAAGGGAGAAGGCCAGAGGTATAGATCCGTTAAGGCCACTCCTTAAGCAGGACTTTCGGTCAGTTCAAAAACCATTAGGTAGGGCCTGTGCGTGCTATAATAAAAAAAGGAAGACCCTGAAATCTACTTGAATGGATCTTGGCAAGGCGGATCGAAAATCATTAATGCCATAATAAAAACGCCAAAGAAAAGCGGGAAAGTGGGGCTATATATCATATAGTAAAGCCAGAGTCAAGACTACATGCCTATTTGACTGCCCGATCGTACATTTCAATAGCTTTAAGAGAGTTTTCATATAGAAGTCTCGGACCCGCCGGGGAAGATACTGAAGAAAGTTCAGCTCTTTACGCTGCTTTTTAATTACAGGGGTATTATAATTCATTCGGACATTAGCGAACATTGAACCGTTGAGCCTGAAAGAGTGAGAGCTTGATGAGATTTTTAGGGCCGATAGGCCAAGCCGATTAGACGGACGGAAATAAGCAACTAGTCGTGCCATCATACTATACCTTACGGTTGAATTGAATATAGAAGGGCTTCCCTTACCTTCTATAAGCCGATTTCGAAATGCGTTTACTTCCCCTTTCTGGCGGCTAGTGCCCCACCTTTCAAGTTGACAGATTTGTATTACTTCGAGATAACTGTCAGAGCCCCCATTCTCGAACTCCTATAAAATGCCATTCCATCGGGTTACCACGCACACAAAAATAATTCACATTTGTCGTCATTTCAAATATAACCTTCACGGGTCCCCTCAACATCCTTAACGGCCTGGTTCATTAAGATGTTGAACTGAGACTTCTGTGGACAAGCTGCGCGACAGAGGCCTAATCCTTGAGCTCTTCTAATCCCCGAAGACGCTCTAATCCTTACAAGGCCATAGACTAACTTCTCAAAGAGAATGATTACTCCATTACACAAAAAAGGCATCTGGTTGTAGGCGTAAATCCAAGACAAGGTTACAAAGTATTCGTATTCTCGCGATACCCACAAACAGTTGAGAGACCCACAAAGGTAGGCCCGGTGCTCGCTTAGTGGCAAAGAGGTTCACTATGAAATATGGACAGGATTCTGAGGAGACGTTCAGCCCTCTTGCTAAGATTACCACGCCTGCAGCAAGGCCCATGCCTTGTAGTCGACCGGTGCAAGCAGGACTTTATTTTCGAGTTTGATATTATTATCTGCAAGGTTAGTGCTTTTTGGTGGCGTACAATGCCTTACTAGGTAGAGACAGGCTAGTTGCCTCGCTTCATTCTTAGTCTTTTGGAATTAGATTGAGATGGTCCTAGCAGACAAAAGACCTTTGCGGGCAGAAACTGGAACGTACTTGAGGCGGAAGGAATCGAAAGTCTCTCCCAGAATAAAGAATAGCCTACCGGCTTCCCTAAAGCCAAGTTGCGCTTCCCGCGTTAAGTTTAACTAGCGGCTTACTTTTAGCCGTCGGGGAAGAAGTGCTGTGATGTTTGAGAACTCTTTCTGGCAAATAGACCTAGACCCGCGCGAGCAATTGTAGCCGAGCAATGGATAGTTCCTTAGGCTGATCTTGCCATTACTCTATGCCTTTATCTAAGAAGGAGGTAGACGCGGTCTTGCAGGGCCTATAATATAAGAGGCTCTTCCGGCTTGAGTTTGCCTGAGTCTGAAGGACTCTTGAGGAAGAATATGGGAGGGCAAATTTTGGGGTACAACAAACGTCAACAACAACAACAACGTCAAATAAACAACAACAACAACGTCAAATAAACAATAACAACAACAACAACAATGTCAAATAAACAACAACAACAACAACAATGTCAACAATAACAACAACGTCAAATAAACAACAACAACAACAACGTCAACAACAACAACAACAACGTCAACAATAACAACAACGTCAACAACAACAACAACGTCAAATAAACAACAACAACTATGTCAACAACAACAACAACAACGTCAAATAAACAACAACAACAACAACAACGTCAAATAAACAATAACAACAACAACAACAATGTTAAATAAACAACAACAATAACAACGTCAACTAAACAACAACAACAACAACGTCAACAACAACAACAACGTCAAATAAACAACAACAACAACAACGTCAAATAAACAATAACAACAACAATAATGTCAAATAAACAACAACAACAACGTCAAATAAACAACAACAACAACAACGTCAACAACAACAACAACAACGTCAACAACAACAACGTCAAATAAACAACAACAACTATGTCAACAACAACAACAACAACGTCAAATAAAAAACAACAACAACAACGTCAAATAAACAACAACAACAACGTCAAATAAATAACCACAACAACAACACCGTCAAATAAACAACAACAACAACATCAAATAAACAACAACAACAACAATGTCAAATAAACAACAACAAAAACAACGTCAACAACAACAACAACGTCAAATAAACAACAACAACAACAACAACGTCAACAACAACAACAACGTCAAATAAACAACAACAACAACGTCAAATAAACAATAACAACAACGTCAAATAAACAATAACAACAACAACAACAATGTCAAATAAATAACAAAACCAACGTCAAATAAATAACAACAACAACAACGTCAATAACAACAACAACAACGTCAAATAAACAACAACAACAACAACATCAAATAAACAACAACAACAACGTCAAATAAACAACAACAACAACAACAACGTCAAATAAACAACAACGACAACAACAATAACAACAACAACAACAACAACGTCAAATAAACAACAACAACAACGTCAAATAAACAAAAACAAAAACAAAAACAACAACAAAATCAACAACAACAAAAACGTCAAATAAACAACAACAACAACAACGTCAACAACAACAACTACGTCAAATAAACAACATCAACAACGTCAAATAAACAATAACAACAACAACAACGTCAACAATAACAACGTCAAATAAACAACAACAACAACGTCAAATAAACAACAACAACGTCAATAAAGAACAACAACAACAACAACAATGTCAAATAAACAACAACAACGTCAACAACAACAACAACAACAATGTCAAATAAACAACAACAACAACAACACCGTCAACAACAACAACAATGTCAAATAAACAACAATAACAACGTCAAATAAACAACAACAACAACAACAACAACGTCAACAACAACAACAACTTCAAATAAACAACAACAACAACGTCAACAACAACAACATGAAATAAACAACAACAACTATGTCAACAACAACACCAACATCAAATAAACAACAACAACAACGTCAACAACACCAACAACGTCAAATAAACAACAACAACAATAACAACGTCAAATAAACAACAACAACACCGTCGAATAAACAACAAAAACAACGTCAAATAAACAACAACAACAACAACAACGTCAAATAAACAACAACAACAACAACGTCAAATAAACAACAATAACAACAACGTCAACAACAACAACAACGTCAAATAAACAACAACAACAACTATGATAACAACAACAACGACAAATAAATAACAACAACTACAACGTCAACAACAACAACAACGTCAAATAAACAACAACAACAACTTCAAATAAACAACAACAACAACAACGTCAAATAAACAACAACAACAACGTCAAATAAACAACAACAACACCGTCAAATAAACAACAACAAAAACAACGTCAACAACAACAACAACGTCAAATAAACAACAACAACAACAACGTCAACAACAACAACAACGTCAAATAAACAACAACAACTATGTCAACAACAACAACAACGTCAAATAAACAACAACAACAATGTCAACAACAACAACGTCAAATAAACAACAACAACAACTTCAAATAAACAACAACAACAACACCGTCAAATAAACAACAACAACAACAACATCAAATAAACAACAACAACAACAATGTCAAATAAACAACAACAAAAACAACGTCAACAACAACAACAACGAAAAATAAACAACAACAACAACAACAACGTCAACAACAACAACAACGTCAAATAAACAACAACAACAACGTCAAATAAACAATAACAACAACAACAACAATGTCAAATAAACAACAACAACAACAATGTCAACAATAACAACAACGTCAAATAAACAACAACAACAACAACGTCAACAACAACAACAACGTCAACAATAACAACAACGTCAACAACAACAACAACGTCAAATAAACAACAACAACTATGTCAACAACAACAACAACGTCAAATAAACAACAACAACAACAACGTCAAATAAACAATAACAACAAAACAACAATGTTAAATAAACAACAACAATAACAACGTCAACTAAACAACAACAACAACAACGTCAACAACAACAACAACGTCAAATAAACAACAACAACAACGTCAAATAAACAATAACAATAACAATAATGTCAAATAAACAACAACAACAACGTCAAATAAACAATAACAATAACAACGTCAACAACAACAACAACAACGTCGTATAAACAACAACAACGTCAAATAAACAACAACAACTATGTCAACAACAACAACAACGTCAAATAAACAACAACAACAACAACGTCAAATAAACAACCACAACAACAACACCGTCAAATAAACAACAACAACAACATCAAATAAACAACAACAACAACAATGTCAAATAAACAACAACAAAAACAACGTCAACAACAACAACAACGTCAAATAAACAACAACAACAACGTCAACAACAACAACAACGTCAACAACAACAACAACGTCAAATAAACAACAACAACAACAACGTCAAATAAACAATAACAACAACGTCAAATAAACAATAACAACAACAACAACAATGTCAAATAAATAACAAAACCAACGTCAAATAAATAACAAAAACAACAACGTCAATAACAACAACAACGTCAAATAAACAACAACAACAACGTCAAATAAACAACAACAACAACAACAACGTCAAATAAACAACAACGACAACAACAATAACAACAACAACAACAACAACAACCACAACAACAACGTCAAATAAACAACAACAACAACGTCAAATAAACAAAAACAAAAACAAAAACAACAACAACATCAACAACAACAAAAACGTCAAATAAACAACAACAACAACAACGTCAACAACAACAACTACGTTAAATAAACAACATCAACAACGTCAAATAAACAATAACAACAACAACAACGTCAACAATAACAACGTCAAATAAACAACAACAACAACGTCAAATAAACAACAACAACGTCAATAAAGAACAACAACAACAACAACAATGTCAAACAAACAACAACAACGTCAACAACAACAATGTCAAATAAACAACAACAACAACAACAACACCGTCAACAACAACAACAATGTCAAATAAACAACAATAACAACGTCAAATAAACAACAACAACAACAACGTCAACAACAACAACAACGTCAAATAAACAACAACGTCAACAACAACAACATGAAATAAACAACAACAACTATGTCAACAACAACACCAACATCAAATAAACAACAACAACAACGTCAACAACACCAACAACGTCAAATAAACAACAACAACAATAACAACGTCAAATAAACAACAACAACACCGTCGAATAAACAACAAAAACAACGTCAAATAAACAACAACAACAACGTCAAATAAACAACAACAACAACAACGTCAAATAAACAACAATAACAACAACGTCAACAACAACAACAACGTCAAATAAACAACAACAACAACAACTATGATAACAACAACAACGTCAAATAAATAACAACAACTACAACGTCAACAACAACAACGTCAAATAAACAACAACAACAACTTCAAATAAACAACAACAACAACAACGTCAAATAAACAACAACAACAACGTCAAATAAACAACAACAACAACGTCAAATAAACAACAACAAAAACAACGTCAACAACAATAA